GGTTGCCTTAGAAGCTCTATCAACGCCTCCGCCTTCTCCTTACCTCGACTCGTCGTGTTCGTCTCCAACATAGCCACTAGCGGAGGAACCGCTCCTTCACGAGCCACCATTGTTCGATAAACCACACTCTCCTCACAAATCTGCAACAATATCGACACAGCAATCTCTCTCTGTCTCTGTGTTCCCATCTCCACAGTCTCCACAAGCACCGGAACTCCTCCTTCCTCCACCACCTCCGTCTTCGATTCCGGCACCGACATCAACAGATTCATCACGTAACCCGATTTATCCACCATATTCGATTCGAGATCCGCCATTAACTCTACCAAAGGCTTCATAATCCCCGATTGTACTGCTCTGATTTTGTTCTCCTTCGCTGAGCACAACGAGTACAGAGCCGTCGATGCGTCTTTCTTCGCTCTGAATCCGCCGGTTTCTAAAAGATTCACGAGGAGAGGAATCGCTCCGGATCTTCCGATTGCGATTTTGTGGTCCTCGATCTGCGATAACCGGAGCAAAGCGCAAGCTGCGTTCTCTTTAGCCGTCGGTGTTCCTGATTTCAAAGCCCTAACCAACGGTTTAATCGCACCGGAAGAAGCAATCAGGTCTTTGTTCTCGTCGCAGAGCGAGAGATTCAAAACGGCGGTGACTCCGTACTCTTGAAGCTGAGGATCTGAAGATGAGATCAGAGAAATCAACGGTTTAATCGCACCGGCTTTAGCGATTTTGATTCGATTCTCTGGATTGTTCTTAGATAAAAGCCTGATCTCCATTGCAGCTTGCTTTCGTTCTTCGATTGAACAGGAAGATTCGTCGAGATGCGATACGAGATAACGGATCAGATCATTGGAATTTTTCTCAGTGGTGGTGGTGGTAGAGGAGAGGAAGAGTTGTCGCCGTCGTCGGATCTCGGAGGAAGAAGATGAAAACTCGCCGGATCTGTCGCTGTTACATTCGCTGAAAGCAGCAGAGGAGGAATCAACATCGTTGAGAATTGAATCTGTGAATTTCCGATTCATGAAGGTGAAAGTATCGACGCGATGATTCTCCATCTGCATCTGCATCTCCGTGATGAATTTGGTCTCGGCTCAGGTTGGTTACTCATAAGCATAAAAAACGTGTGATTAGGTCAAACAGTGAGGAATGTTTGTTCGTGTGCAATTGCAGAGAAAGAGAGAGAATCCGTGGATTAGTTAATTCAGTAATATTAAATCCCAAACCAATAAGATGATCAGATTTAGCATTATTTCTAGAAGTTTAAAGTTTCTCTCTCAATATTAATGAAATGAAGAAACCGTTGTATAAAAATGACCAAGTCAACCCACGTTTTTTATTCTAACAAGTTTGACCGCATTATTGTTCTTGTGTCCAAAGTGTAGGATTTATGTTACTTTTAACAGAGTTCAAAACGTTAAGGCAGATTTTTAATCCAACAAAATGTTAATGAGAAATTTCTTAAATACCACACTAACAATATCAAAGCACAAAATCGATACTGCCACTGCCAATATATCTTTTTAGGTTACTAATAGCTTCATCACCGGGCTAGGAAACGTCGACTTCCATCTTGATGTTAACAAGTAGCTTGAGATCTCTAGTTTTGAAGTCTCCAAAACTCAAAGCGAGGACTAGAAGACCTTAAGTCCGTTTTCCGGAGATGTTTGAACCAATTTCGGATAAATAATCCGATTTTCTCTGGAAATTAGTTCTTGTATCCCGTTTATTCAGAAAATTATTTATCCTTTATCGTACTTTTGGTTTCGAGGTTTTTCTCTTAACTTGTCGACTTTATTTTTCAGAGGGTTTCAATCCTTTGCCGGGATTGTGTAATTTTCATTTCCAATTTCAATAAAATATCTTCAGAGACAAAACAAGGTCACTAATAACTTCCGTTATAGGATCATAACAATATTGATTTTAAAAGAAAATTATCTAGCAAAACAACTCGAGTTTTTATTTCTTGCATGCTTGATATGTTTTTTTGGTCTAAAGCATTCTTGATGATGATATGTTGATGTATGTATACTATTGCTTATGGTTTTATTTTGGGGGGATTTGCACACGACTCCTACCACACTATAATCTTTTTTTGGTACTGTAAACTCATCAAAATAAAGATTGAACCATACTTATTTGATTCGTGATATATGTACGAATGTTTGGTTGTTTTTATCCCTTTGTGGTAGGCGTTCGCTTTAGCCTCTAGAGAGAGAAAGAAGAAAAAGGCGATTGTGGTTTTCTCGGCCGACGGTCGGGTTTAGTTTCTTAGACTTTTGTGTAGTTGGCTTTTGTAGATTTTGCGATGGATTCTCTCGTGTCTTGGTTGTGAGATCTTGAGATCTGGCCTGGTGAGGGTAGAGGTTTGGCCGGTGCTTCACTCGGGTTGTCGGCTCGATGGTAAGTGAGTCTAGCGGTGGAGCGGCTACTCGCCTGGTGGCATAAAGGTATTTGCTTCTCTGCCCGTAGTTAGCAAGGCCGGTTCGGTTGGGCTTTAGTCTTTTGGTATCGATTTGGGTTGGTACTAGGTGGTCTCTAGCCTTGTTGTTCCTTGCCATGTTGATTGTGATTGTGGAGAGTCTCATACTTGATGCCGATGGTCTTTAAGATTTATCTTCCTCGATGCAGAACCTCTTTTGTTTGCTTCAACGATCGAACTTTGAATGTCTAGAGCAGTTGTTTTTCCTGATTTTGGTCCAAGCTCTATCTCCTCTCTGGATGATTTATGTGCTTTTGCCTTCGTTGTCTCATGGCCTTGTTTAAGGTGATGTCTTGGTGTTGCTGGATATATGTGACTCTTATCTTGGTGAAGAAGATGTCTTCAAGGTTGTCTCCTCGCCTAGCTGCCTGTTTAGTATATCCTTTGTCCGCTTTTTGAATAATTCTTCTATTGGCATTTATGCATACCAACACCGTGCCTTCGAGTTTTGGGTTGTGTATCAATATGAAGAACCTTAGTGGGTTCTAATCTTGCTTGTTGGTGATCTTCTCTTCATGGTTTATATTGGCTCGAGTCACTCTTACTTGGTTTAGCTTTGAACTTGGGATTCAGTGACTTCATCTCGAGTGTGTTGCAGCTCCCTTGTCTCCTTAATTCCTGCCGTGAAATCGAAGCATGTGTTCTAAGGTTGGTTGTTCAATGGAAGGATGATACTTTGCTTGGTCAGAGCTGGAGTTTTCTTGTTTGGATTTTTAAATTTGGTGTTAACATGTTTTTCTAGCTATAG